TCCTGTATCTTACTTAGTTGGGGGAGATAATTCCCCTAATTTAAAGGCAAAGTATGGTACGGTAACAGAGTTGACGCAAGATTTACGGACACACATTTTTATAAGAAAAAAGTTATTTAAAAAAAAAAAGAATGTTGTAGAATTAGGTAAATGACTCTTTAGGGCTTTTATAAATAAAATGAATGAAATATTACAAAAATAAAAGTACAATAAAATATTTTGATTACACAATGATACAGGATGGAAAAAATGCACTGACTAATTCGGAAAACAAGAAAACATGATTTTCAGCTATTTAAGACACTTTTTGCAAAAAATATTATATTGTTATGGACTGTAACATCTTGTAATTCATAACAATGAGTAACACAGTATTAAAATAATTAAAAATATAACCATTTGAAAAAAGCAGAAAAAAAATAATGACTTCGGACACCAAATGTACCTGCAATTATAGAATCACTCATATGCTGAACAGATAGGTCTGAGGATCAACCTGCAGAATACAGAGGTGATGACACTCAATATCGCAAATCCCCAACCACTGCAGGTAAACGGAGAAAATCTTCCAATGACCAAAGATTTCACCTACTTGGGCAGCATTGTCAGTAATGATGGAGGAGTGGACAACGACAAAGAATCGTCTTAGCAAGGCCAGAAATGCATTTAGAATGCTGAATAGTGTCTGGAGGTCCCAGCAGTATTACACAAAGACTAAACTGAAGTTGTACCAGAGCTGTGTGCTTTCCACCATGTTATATGGTTCTGGAGGATGACAGACAGTGACCTGAAAAAGCTCTCCGTTTGTTTTCCACACAAAGAACTTGAGGAGAATCAGGCGAATTTTCTGGCCAAACACCATCTCTAATGAGCAATTGCTTGCTCGTTGTAAACAGGACAGCATTGGAACCATCATCATGAGGAGAAGATGGAGGTGGACTGGGCACTTGCTAAGATCCTAAAGATATTACCTGCACAGCCCTTTTCTGGACACCAGAGGGCAAACGTAAGAGAGGCAGACCAAAGAACACCTGGCACCGGACTGTAGAACAAGAACTAAAGAACCTAAACCACAATTGGGGCCCCATCCAGCAGCTGGCCCAAAACAGACAGGAGTGGAAGACTTTTGTTGCTGCCCTACATGCCAAGGGCAAAATGGGTAGTAAGTAATTTATATATAAATATATAAAGATAAATGATAACAGTATAATTTATGTATTATTTATATATACACACACACACAAAAACTAATAAGTAATAAGTAAAAAAAGTCAAATTAAGTATGTACTGTATGTATATATATATATATATATATATATATATTAGTGCTGTCAAACGATTAATCATATACAAAATACGTTTTTGTGTACATAATATGTGTGTACTGTTTATTTATTATGTATATATAAATACACACACATGCATGTACATATTTAAGAAAAATATGTTACGTTTATATATTAAATATATTTATATATGATATAATTGATATGAATATAAATATATACATGTAAATATTTTCAAAATATATGCTGTATATGTGTCTTTATATATACATGTAAGAATCGAAATGGGAAGGTTTAAATAAAGTAGATTGCACGCGAGATATCGCGAGAGTAGAGAGCAAAATAAACGGTTTGTAAGATTCACCTCCTTCTATCTATTATCAAAGCTGGACTAGTAATATATTTCAAATTAATTTAATGAGATGGATGTTGCACAGGCATCTTAAATCAGCACTGGCTTTCATCATCTCCTCAAGCAGATCATGATATTTCATTAGTCGACTGTGAAGACAGATCTGGCATCTCACACACAGACAGACACACGAGCACGATCTGTCTGTGTCCAGTCAGGAAACTCCTGCTCTTATTTTAATGAAGTCAGTAAATTCAACTGTGTGTCTGGAGCTGAACAGAGATAAAAGAGAACAACATACTCATATAAAAGTCAAACATATGAATCCAATGAAAATGGGTTTTTGGGATTTTTCAGCTTTTTGGGGGTGAATTTGATCTTGGACTTACATACAAATGCAGATTTGAACACAGTAACACAGTCCAGCTACTGGCTCTTCATTAAACTGCAATGTCATTAGAGCTGGGCAATTGAATATTCACAATGTATCTGCAATGATTTTGCAGGCAATGTAAATTTAAGCAGCATTGTGAAGATTGCAAGGATTTTACAATGCTTTTTATCTGGTCATTAAGTTGTCTAAAGACTGTGTCATTAGGCTTATGAGTATGAGAGTATAAAGACGGAGAGGATTGCAATTAAACCTCAGTAACAAAAACAGCATTAGAGTTTGATTAATTTATGAGAATCTGGTCAAACTGTTTCAATCATTTGAAAAACTAGAGTCATCAATCATTTAAACATATACTAGATTAATCTATTTGGCTACAATGACTTGAAATTATGAATTTGTGGTTGTGTGACATATACCCATAAATTCATCATTATTACATAATATATAGCAAAAAAAAATTATCATCATTTTTATTATTATTAAAAAATATTTGATAAAAAGATAACTGATGGTTCCTCAAAAAATTTATTACTTTATAAATAATTATAATATTTAAAATTTATTCAAATACATGTTTTTTTACATACATTTATAATAATAAACTATAATATTGTTTTATTAAACTGTAATATTATTCAAAAGGCTGGAAATATTATATATACTCCATATTATATATACATACATATTAAAATTGTCAGACTTTTGAATATATTAATTTAATATTATTATTATTTTAGTTATTATTATTATTATTAAAATATCTTTTTGAAATGATGATATTTGATGAAATGATGGGATATTTAAAATTATGATAATTTTATGACTTATAAAATGTATGCATTTTTGAATATATTACGTTTGAATAAATTAAAATAATTTATATTAAATTATTAAAATATTAACATTTAAATGAAACATTAAAATTAAAATATATTAAATAAACATTTACATTAAATCAATATAATAAATAATAAAAATAGTATGATTATTTATTAGATTTATTAGTTTATATTATTCATATAAAACGTCAACATTACTGTACTTAACTATATTGAAGATGCTGAAAACCGTATCCAGTCCAGTGTTTTCCTCCACTCTCTAAGACATTTGTGAAGACACAACAGTGAAGCTCACCTGGGGTCACACAGGAAGTCGGAGCTCTCTCCATCCGCTCGCCACACCAGCCACTCTCTGAAGGACGGGTGGCAGAACATGCGCGTCTTATCCCTGCGTTTGATGAGGAAACAAGAGAGCGTCTCCATCCTCTGCTGGAAGTCGTCCCACAGCAGCTCTCCCCGCTTGCTGCCCGCGTTCAGCGTCTGAAACAGCTGCTCGTCCGTAATGGGGTGAAGGGACGCCAGCGCCACGTTGAGAACGGGCACGGCGCGCTCAAACGCAGAGTTGGTCATGAACTTCATGTTGCACTGCAACAGGTAGAGCTCCGACAGAGAGACGGGCACCACCTTGTAGCTGGCGCTCTTGATGACCAGATGACCCTTCTCAAAGAGGTCAAGGGTCAGTTTGAGGTACAGGTACGAGCCCTGGCTGCGGGAGATGAGGTGGGAGCTGACTTTGCCCACGATGATGGGGTCTGCTTTGCCGTTGAGGGAGATGTTGTTGAGGATGTTCTGGCTGCCGTTGATGCGGTGCTGGATGTAGGCGTTTAGGTCCGTCCCGATCTCCTTGCTTTCTGGGAACTCATCCAGGCTGATCTTGGAGAAGGGCAGCAGACTGGTGATCTCCTGAAAAGACAAGATGGAAATGTCATGAAATACATCCAAAACCTTTCCCAGTAGATTTCTCTGAGATCTGGACAATGTTGATTTTCTGCCTGATGAAGTTTTGAATTCAGTTCAGTTAATTTTTCTCCCATGTACAAGTATTTCTAAGTAGGCATTAAAATTTAAATCTAAGTAGGTTACACTTTATTTTAAGGTGTCCTTGTTACAGTGTAATTATACATTTAAGTACTGAGAAATAATATTTAAAACAGTAACAATCATACTTAATCAATAAATATTATTATTTTTATTTCAAAGAAAATTCTGCATAAAAACATTAAACAACATGACACCAATGACATTTAAATGAAAAAAACAAAACAATTAAATTTAAAATTCTACAACATGGCATGAAAATTGCCATGCGAGTACTTGAACAGCTTCTTCTTACTCTGAACTTTGAACTTTTTGTAATTTAAAAATATGTTAAAACACTGATAATACCAGTGACAACAAATTATATTATTATTTTAAGAATTATATTTTATTATATTACTATATTATTATATTAATAATATTATTAATAATTTGTTTCATTTGCTCAGTTGTTAGACCCAATGCTTAAAAAATAAACAAATAAATAAGTGTACAAGTCACAGAAATGGTGTACCAGAAGAAGGGGACATATTTGACTAAAATAAATAAATAAATAAATAAATAAATAAATAAAGTACAGAAAAAAGTAAGCCTATTTAATTATTCAATAAATTGTCATGTTATAAAATAATGTATTTTATAAAATACAAAATAAATAATAAATAAAATAAAATGAAACAAAAATAAATAAAAAAATAATAGATTTAGTTTCATGATTATTCAAAATGTTTTACATCATTAAATACTGTAATTAGTGCTGCACAACAAATCGTATGCGATTGTCATGCGCATCTCGTCAATAAAGCTGGTTCTGTGATTAGTAGTAATATCGCAATATCGCGTTCATAATCGAATGCGATTCATCTGCGATTATAGATAGATGCTTTATTTGTCATTTCTATATGTTGCATAGAAACGAAATTGTGTTTCACACGTCCACAGCTTACAGTTCAGTGCATTATAAAAACAGAGATATTTCAGTAAAAATGATTTAGAAATACTAAAACATAAATATTCTAGTAAAATTATTTAAAGTACTCTAAATGTGTTAAAAAAATTAACCACAATAAAATCACAAACTCTGATTTAGCAGCCTGATTGCTGTAGGAAGAAAGCTATTTATGACCATCTCCTTGCGAATGGCAAAAGCTTATTCCAAATCATCAGTTCTTATTCTGCTGGATCTATCTGCTGCTTTTGACACTGTCAATCACCAGATCCTCCTGTCTGCCCTCTCATCACTGGGCATCACAGGGATTCCACTTCGCTGGTTTGAATCCTATCTCACTGGTAGGTCTTTCAGGGTGTCCTGGGGAGGGGCGGTCTCCAAAGCTCATCAACTGGTCACTGGGGTTCCTCAGGGATCAGTTCTTGGACCACTCCTCTTCTCCATATAAACTACATAACTGGGTCCCATCATACAGGCACATGGCTTCTCCTACCATTGCTATGCTGATGACACACAGCTCTATCTCTCATTTCAACCAGATGATCCAACGGTAGCTGCACGGATCTCAGGCTGCCTGGCGGACATCTCGGCATGGATGAAAGAACATCACCTACATCTCAACCTGGCAAAAACTGAGCTTCTTGTCTTCCCTGTTACTCCAACTCTACAGCATGATTTCACCATCCAGCTAGGTCCTTCTACAATTACCCCATCGACTTCGGTCAGAAATCTTGGTGTAATCCTCGATGACCAGCTGACCTTCAAAGAACACATTGCAAAGACCGCTCGATCTTGCAGGTTTGCATTGCACAACATCAGAAAGATCAGGCCATTTCTAACGGAGCATACTGCAAACAATACCTAAAACTGGGTATTTCGAGCACTTCCTGTGTCTGTTTGCCTCTTTAAGAAGAATCGCTTTATGTATTCCCCAATTGTAAGTCGCTTTGGATAAAAGCGTCGGCAAAATGACTAAATGTAAATGTAAATGTATTTAACAGCCGAGTTTTTATGCTGCGGTATCTTTTTCCTGACTGCATCAATGTAAACAATCTATAAAATGGATGTGTGCAGTCCTTCAGGATGCCACCAGCTCTCCGCACACAGCGCTCTGTGTAGATGTCCTGTAGCTGTGGCAATGAGACACCAATCATTTTCTCTGCTGTTCTCACAATCCGGCTGAGATTGTGTCTCTCCTCCACGGTTAGAGGGAGATGGTGATGTTGGCTAACCCTCCTGAAGTCTATGACCATCTCCTTTGTCTTGTTGGTATTGAGGGCCAAGTTGTGCGTTGTGCACCAGGCTGTGAGTTTCTCCACTTCTTTCCTGTATGCTGACTCATCATTATTGGTAATAAGGCCAACAACAGTGGTATCATCTGCGAACTTGATGACATGGTTGCTGTTAAAACTGGCAGTACAGTCATATGTCAGCAGCGTGAACAATAAAGGACTCAGAACACACCCTTGTGGCGTACCTGTGCTCACAGTTATTGTTTTAGATGTTAAACTGCCAACTCTGACTGTCTGTCTTCTCTCTGTCAGAAAGTTCATAATCCACCTACACACTCCTGAATCCAGACGCAGCAGCAACAACTTTTCCACCAGTTGTTGAGGCAAGATTGTATTAAATGCTGAGCTCAAGTCAATTAGTAAGATCCTGGCGTAGGTGTTCTTGTTCTCCAGGTGTGTCAGTGTGAGGTGGAGCAGTGTGGACATTGCGAGCGGTTTGCTCTATACGCGAACTGAAGCGGGTCCAGATTTGCTGGGAGACAAGACCTGATATGACTCATCACTAGCCGCTCAAAACACTTCATGGCAATGGGGGTCAAGGCTACTGGACGATAGTCGTTCATTGAGGATGGATTGGACTTTTTTGGGAGTGGGATAATAATGGAGCTTTTTAGACAGGTGGGTACAATGGCCTGGCTGAGAGAGATGTTAAATATATCACAAAAAACATCCTTTAATTGCTCTGCACACCCTTTTAGCACACAACCTGGGATATGGTCAGGCCCAGCAGCCTTCCGTGGGTTGATCTTAGTAAAGACCCACTTGACACGGTGTACTGTCAGCTGCAGTGCCTGGTGAACAGAAAACTGTTCCTGCAACCTCAAACCGAGAAAAAAATTAATTGAGGTCATCAGGAAGATAGGGGTCATTGTTCATTGCCTTTGCTGTAGGCTTATGGCCAGTGGCCACTTGAAATCCCTGCCTTGAAAGTGGACAACTTTATCCCAAAGGCCTTTTTTGCCTGGCGAATGCCTTTTTTCAGGTTGGTCCTTGCTCTTGCATACCCTACTGTGTCACCAGATCTGAATGCAGCATCGCGGAGCCTCAGTGAGCAAACTTCACCTGTCAGCCACGGCTTATTGGTAGAGTACACCTTGATAGATTTTTAACAGTCACATCATCAATGCACTTGTTTATAAAACCCAGCACAGCTTCTGTGTATTCCTCCAGGTCTATACAGTCACCAGATGTTGCAGCATCCTTAAAGATGCTCCACTGTGTGCATTCAAAGCAACCTTGTAAAGATGGCATGGCCTCCTGTGGCCACACTCTGATTTCCTTTACTGTGGGTGGCGCTGTTATGAACGCGATATTGCGTAGCTTGTCAGTGAACTACGGCTCTGTGTATTAAATACCGCCGTCATCAAATTTCAATAATGACATTTTTACAGATAACACATCAGTATGTTTGATAGAAAGACAGGAGGGATGCAGGAAGTCATCGGACCAGAATGCACCTGCACATGCGCTCTTGATAGACACTGGTTTCTCCAGACATCATGTCACTGACAAACACTTAAAGGCCTTTTTCTTTACAATCACACACACACACAAAATTATCAAGGTCCACAAGGTCAACTGGAAGACTGGTTAAACACAGTCACTCACACACACACACACACACACACACATCCCTACAAATCAATAGGGCCAATAATCCCGCTCATATTGCAGCAATAACACAGCACCGCAGTGGAGCGAGAGAGAGAAACACAATGAATTTTACATCACACAGGAGCCTCATATCCAGCCAACACACGCTGATGAGAAACCACGCTCCTGATACCTGAAGAAACGGCTGCGGTGCATCAGACAGTCATCATCACACACAAATCAACGGATGAAATCACACCAGAAACCTGCCAAAATGCCTGATTATTAGTTCAAATGATCAAGGCATGTTTCCCACACATCATATTTAATCATTCTCATTCAAATGCACCAATATTTACCTACATATATTTTCACCCTATAAAACCTACTGTATCATGATGCTGAAAAATCTACTACATGCCTTCTGTCGATTGATAGTTTTACTTTTTTAACAAGTATAATTGTACAAACATCCACCTTCAGCTCGTGCTTCACGTGTCTTTTCGCTGTGAAATCTTTACTGATTTTACTGAAAGTAAATGCAAGAATAACTTTTATATTATTAGTAATATTTCAAGATGAACACTTACTGGACTGAAGCGGCTTCGGTTTACATGATTATCCATACATCATTTATTAGAAAAATCATGTTCAAATGTGAGCATCAAATATGATCATCAGGCTTTTGAGGAACGTTTATTTGTTCATCTTTCAATCATCATTTTATTGCATTGCATTATGTTTTGATCGCTGAAATATCATCTTACTAAGACATATTATTTATTTATTTCACAAAAAATAGAAAGCAGCTTATTAAGATATATAAACAACATTAATGTTCACATTGTTGGTTATGAAGAAGCCATTTCTTAAAATGATGCTTAAATGAGTTAAATGATGTACATTCTCTAATTGATTGTGGTATTGAATTCCACTGATGTGATGCTCTGAATGAAAAAACAGCTTGACCAAACGAGGTTTTTCTATGTGGAATTATGCACTCAGCTTTAGCTGCACCTCTAGTTACTCGA